TTTGAGCATGGTATTGACCGAGTATTTGATTTGATAAAATTAAAAACTGTAGGGTTAAAAGTGACTTATCCAATGGGTACAAAAAAAAAAAGAAAAAGAAAAAGAAAAGAAAAAAAGAGCTTTACCATGAAAATAAATTTTTTTTTTTGGTGGTAGGGTCCAAATTTCCCTACTTTTACTTATTCTCGTGAATAAAAATCTTTGTCAAAATAAACAAGTTTTTGGTCATTTTGTATCGATTCTCGACACCCAGAGATGGTTTAAATATTATTTTGATCCATGTATGTTCTATTTTGGTTCATTTTAGTCTCAGTTTTTTCAAAACGTTTCATTTCGCTTTATATACTTTCAACTTTTGTTCATTTTAATTCTTTTACTTTCAAAATATCCATTTTGGTTTTTGTGGTTTTAGCAGTACAATGATCAAAATGAACGTTTGGAAAGTACATAGACTAAAATAAACAAAAGTCGATGATACATGAATCAAAATAGACGTTTTGGAAGTATATAGATCAAAATAATCAAACTCGAAAATACATAGATGAAAATAATATTTAAATCAGCCTCTAAAAGGTCGTCCAATTGACAAGGGCTTAGAGTTTCTTAGTCATACTAGCTCAGAAGTCTCAAGTTCGAATCTTCTAGTAAATTATCTGGAACTTGAGTTAAATATATATATATATATATATATATATATATATATTTAAACCTAAATGGATAATTACACGTTGCTTCTCCTTTTGACTTTAAGATTTTTCTCATTTATTTCATTTTCCACACACTTAAATGAAGATTGGTAGTGCAATAATGGGATTCTTTCCTTTATTTACCAAAGAAATGTTAATTAATTAATAAAGTTTGATCTTCCAAATCCATGTTTGCTTTTAGGTACAAACGACAACATTGCTTTTTGTTTTATTTTTTAATCATCGTTGGATGTAATGGAAGAAAATGTTTTTAATGCTTAAAAATATAACAAAGCAAAATGGTACTTATTCGATTATAAAATTTTATAAGTCATCAAAAGCGAGCATAGTTCAACAGTAATTGATATGTATTTTCAACTAAAAGTTGTAAATTTGTATTTCATCCCAACATATTGTACTAAAAAATAAAATAATTTTATAAGATTTGTACACGTCCCAAATTCTACTTTTAAATAATTTTCCAAGTATTATCTCAGGTTTTTAACTATTTAGAATTAAGTTTTTATGCCATGGACCCAATCTCAAGTAATTGACATTAAATCAATGAATGTGAACTTTTATAAAACTAGAAGCTAAAATGTTAAAAGTGAATAGAATAAATACTATTTTTAGTTGGATTGTTTTCTGTACTTTTAGAGTGTCATAATTTTAATCTATTCATTTTATTTTTTTTTATCACGGTTTACGAACGATAATACATTCAATAAATCGATTTTCATTGTATATAAAATTTATGTTTAAATTTTACTAATAAATATCAAAATAGCAACGGTTAAAATAATATTTAAACTAAAATTAA